AGGAGCAAGAAAGGGAGCGGAATGTCTGTATGTGGGGAATGAGGTGATAAGTCATGGCTGTGAGTGTGTTCACACAACCGTTCTGTGCTTGTGTGCACACAAAGTGGATTGTGCCATCAGAAGCAGTAATTCCTGTGACTCATAATCCATCTAGATGGCTTGTATGATTGAATGATTTCTTCCCTCCTTTTCCAGTGGAGAGGTTTACTTAGTTTTGCAGGAGAAAGAGGAATGGAAGTAAAATTGTCAAAAAACCACGAAGTAATTTTGGAGATTTAGCATCTTAAAAAAATGTCACTTTGAACATGGGAATTAGGCTTCTAAATTACCTTTTGGTAATTCTATCCTCACTAAGTGAGAAATTACAAAGAGAAGTCTTCTCCCCCCCCCCTTTTTTTTCTTAAGCCTTTTTATTCTAGGAGGAATAAAAGCATTGGGTGTGCTAAAAGTTCTAGAGTGTATCTTCCCTGCCTTTAGCTTCTGCCCTTGTATAGGTGTTATCCCATATCTCTTTGCTCCTCTCCTCTGAGTTTGGTGTTGCTTTCAGTCTCTGCTGGAGATGTGAATTAGAACCTGGGTTTTGCCTATCTCCTTCAACTGGAAGGGAAAGGTCATTGAGTCCAGTCCCCTGCCTTCACAGGAGGAACAAGTACCATCCCTTACGAATTTTTGCCCTAAATAGCCTCTGCAAGGATTGAACTCACAACACTGGGTTTAGCAGGCCAAGGCTCAAACCACTGAGTCATTCTTCAGGGCAGGATTGAGGGGGAAGGGTTCTGTTTCCACTCTGGCTGGTAAGCTCATTTTTCAGTGAGGGCAGTGGGTTAAATCACTCAAGTCCAGCTGGTCCTCCAATGGCCTCCCACAATTCCCTAAGTGCCTGGAAGGAAGACTAGTTTCTCCACAGTCCATTGTCAAGGAATCGTAGGGCAGATCAACTTACTGCAGCACAGGTGAGAAGGCAACGATTTGGGGATTGCTTTATGATGTCACTTCTTGTACCCAGGCGAGCCTAAGTTGGCTCCTGAAATTTGGGTGGTGATATCCTGAGCTATCTGTCTAGTGAGGATATACCCTTGGAGTCACTCCGAATGCTTCCTCATTTTGTCTTGTCTGGTAAGACATTGTATAAAGCTTCGTAGTACTGGGAGGAGCATGAATTGAGATCAGCTACTGAGCTTTTGTCTGTTCTACCTGTTTCATCACAGTTATCTGGTTATTCACTAGTCAGCTTTGCAGACTGAAGTCACTACCTAGAAAAATCAACATAGAGAATTAACAATAGTGTTCACAAGTGTAATCTTTGGCTGAGCTAGACTTCACTGCCCGTTCTCCAGCAGAGCTGCTCCTAACCATTTGGCGGCCCTGGGCAACCGCCTGGCTCTCCACTAGGGTAACCAGATGGTTTAAAAAAAAATACCAGACAGAAGGCCGGTGGAGGGGAGAGGGGAAAGAAAAAAGGAGGGTCAGGGAGTAACCAGGGAAACCTGGGGGGAAGGATTTGGGAGGTCGGGCTGAAATGCAGTCGCGGTCTGCCCCTAAGATAGGCTCTTTTCTCCAGTGTCTAAAATAAAGAAAACTCCTCAACTCCCATACAAAGTAACTGGCAGCCCAGAGTTCAGTCTAAGGAGTTTCAGCAAGAATTGTAGTGTCAGCCTCTCTTCATTCAAGTACCAAACAAAACTAAAGAAACAAATATAATTAAATAATTTCATAAAATCTTACGATGAGGAAACAATCTAATTTTTACAGCATAACAGAACCATTTTATAAAAAGAAAACCAAAAGTAAGATTTGAACTTGCAAAGTCTCCTCTTGCCCTGCAGAAGGTGCCTGGAGGGAACCGCCAGCTGTTTAGAACAGCTGCAGTTCTTTTGTGGGAGGGGCAGAGGCAAAGACTTCATGTGTATCCCCGCCCTCAGGCCAGTCAGGCTCTGTGGGAGAAGGAGCACACAAGTGTCCTAGTCCCTCCCCTTCCAGGGCAGCTTGGGGCCACTTCAAAACTTAGTGAAGTGCCCCCCATCTAAAATTATTGCCCACTCTGCACTACTCACTTCTACCTCCCCCCTCAGGTCTCTTAAAGAGATAGCTCCTTCTTAGGTACGTGGGTTACACAAGGATTTTTGTTTATCATATGTTTGTACAGTCCCTAGCAGAAAGGGGCCCAACCTTGTTGTGGTCTTCAAACACTACCATCATATAAATGTAAATAATTATGCAGTGTGTACAAACATAAAAAAGTAAAGACTAACGGATTTATTTATTAGAGGCGTCTGAGGACGTGGGTTTTGCCCATGAAAGCTTATGCTCAAATCTATTAGTCGTTAGGGTGCCACAGGACTCCTCATTGTTTTTTTGCAGATATAGATTATCACAGCTGTCCCTCTAAGGCAGTATGTACTGTGGTTCATCCATAGTGCTCAATGTACCTCACAAGGGTGTGTGTGTCACGTATGTCCATGACTTAGCTTTCCATCTGTAAAACAGGAATAATGAAAGTGATTTATGTGAGGTCACACAGGCGTCAGTCACAGAGCCAGGAACAGAACTCAGGTCTCCCCTCTCCCAGGCATGTGCTTTGTCACCTCGCTCATGCAATATGCCTATGGGCTATACATTATTTACATCAGCCTGGACAATGTCATACACAGTGACAGTGCTCATAATAATACAGAACGGATTTCCAGTGCCACAGTATAACAGGTCTAGTGAATGAAGTAAGAATAGACCTGAGAACTATTCTGAGGTTCAGCGAAGTTCAATTAAGACTGTCACTTTCCCTTCTTTTTTCATGTTTCTAGACTTCCTGGCTCCATTCAACACTCTGGCATTGGGGGTGCTGAAATGCCACGAGAGAGATTTCTCTTGAAATGATAGAAATTGGGATGTTTTGAGATTGCACGAGATTCTAACTTCTACGAGCATAACTGAATTAGTGAACTTTTGTAATTCACTCTTTGCCGCTACTCTATAGGGTCTCTTTTGCTCTGAATTTTGATACATAGTGGACATATACACTTTCTATGTACAACAGTACACATACAGTATATGTACTGTATACATATATATTCAGCAACATTAACTATAATTCTGTCATTTTTATTATTAAAAGGGAGTTAAACACAAACTCAAATAAAACATCTTGCAAAATAGCTTTTCATTTCTTGGTAAGTTGTGAGTGAGTAACTAAATGCCTCATAGCAGGTACCATCTTGAAGAGGAAGCATGTTATTCATGGAAATTAAAATAAGTTTGTGAGGGAAAAACATGTTGTGTAGGAGTGGCTGAAGGGACATCAGGGTATGTAATGCATTGTATTCACTTTCAGTAAAGCTACAAGAAATTAAAAAGTGCAGATCAGCCAGGACTGGCCTTACCATGAGGTGAACTGAGGTGGCCGCCTCAGGTGCCAGACTGTGGGGAGGCGCCAGTAGGACCCAGAGTGTAGAAAATTGTTTCTGCTGCTGGTGCATATGTGCATATGAGGGTGTCATTTGATCTCCCCTCCTCAGGTGCCAAAACATTGTGGGCCAGCCCTGAGATCAGCTTTAAGATGTTCTTTCCTGTATGCAAGTTCGTTTACATTTTGAATAGAGGACTCTTCTTTTTGCTGCTCCTTGGACAAATGAAAGCTATTTTAATAACTTCATTCTGTTTTTGGAGTTTTATACCCTGTTTAACTACATGCTTTTGATTTCTAGGTGGAACACCAGTATTCACACAAATTAACTGTGACGGTATTGAAAGCCACAAATGTTACAAAAGGGGCTTTTGGGGATATGCGTGAGTATTGCTTTATTGATTCATCAATGTTCCATTTCTCACCTGATTAGCTCAGTGGTCTCCAACCTTTTTAAGCATGAGCTCACTTTTTGAATTTAAGTGAAATCCAAGATGTACTTCAAACCAAATATCCTTGCCCTGTCACCTTTGTGCCCCTTCTCTGAGGCCCCACCCCTGCTCACTCCATCCTTTCTCCCTCCCCTGTCCTCTCTCACTTTCACCAGGCTAGGGCAGAGGGTTGGAGTGCAGGCTCTGGTCTTGAGTGAAGGGATTTGGAGTGTGAGAGGGGCTTGGGGCAGTTGGAGTGCCAGAGGGAGTTCTAGATGCAGGCTCTGGGAGGATGTTTGGATGCAGGGGTGCTCGAGGCAGGAGCTTGGGGTACAGGAGGGGGTTCATGACTGGGGTAAGAGTTCAGGATGTGGGCACCAGCTGGTCACTGCTTGCCTCAAGTGGCTCCTGGTGGTGGTGCAGTCGGGCTAAGACAAGCTTGCCTCTGTCCTGGCCCTGCATCACTCCCAAAAAGCAGCCAGCAAACTCCATCCCAAATCCAATTGTGCCCCCTTCTTCTCTGTGGAGATAGGATACAGGATGGGAGAGAGGGCACCTTGACATCAGCGCCCCTTCTTTCCCTCCCATTCCTTGCACAGCAAGCAGGAGGCACCTGGGGAGGGATCAGGTCCAAGAAGAAGAGCAGGGGTGGGAGGAAGGGGCAGCTGAAGTGCTGGTACTTGATAACCACTTGGTCAAACCAGTCAGGATCACCTGTCGGAGGCTCCAAGATCTACCAGTAGATCCTGATCTACTGCTTGGTGACCACTGGATTAGCTGTTTCTTCTCACAATGCGGGGGCATTCTAAGCTTATGTATTAGTAGTGCCATTTGTGCTTTCTCTCTAGTTTTGCTTATGCCAAGGAGCATCTGTTTAAACATTTGCCTTGTCATTGTTCACTCATATCCGTTCACATGGCACTTTTTGCTCTTCCCCAACAATTGATTTTAAAAAAAAAGAAAAAAAAGAGAAAAATGAATGAATGAGTTGTATGGTGCCAGCAGCACCTAGAATAAGTCAAGCCAAGTCAGAAATGAGTTCTCAGTGTAAGGAAATTGGAGGCTGCCGTGCCTTCCGAAAGTTGTGGTTTGGTGAAAAACTTAAAAGAGAAACTCAAAGCCCTGCTGATTCAGCACAGAGCAATGAAGCAACTTGCGCTGTGTAGAGTTATCTGTGGTCTCAACATTATTGCCACTTACTCTGTGTTTCTACAGACGCGTTTGCAGAACAGGAAGCCACTAGGAAGGATGACCCATGAAAAACATCAGCAGTTTTCAGAAAATACCATATGTAGTCGATCATAAGCTGAATGTTTTTAGTACAAAACAATGCAGTAAAGAGCGGGGGTTGGCCAATTTTTTTAGTTTGGGTGGGGTCGGCAAACTTCAACTCCCAGCCCATCAGGACAAAATGCTGGTGTGCTGGGATGTTTTATGTACCTGGAGTGTTTGCAGGCATGGAGCCCCTCAGCTCTCTTTGGCTGCTGTTCTCTGTTCCGGGTCAACAGGAGTGATGGGAAGTGGCAGCCAGCAGGTTCCTTGGCTCACGCTGCTTCCCTCTGCTCCTATTGGCTGGGAACAATGAACAGCAGCCAATGGGACCTGCGGGGCTCTGTGCCTGCAGATGCTTCAGGTAAACAAAACATCCCAACATGTCAGTGGCTGTGTTGACAGCTGGGAAGGAGGTTTGCAAATCTCCGATATAGAGTCAGCTTATGAACAGGACACTGATTTTTACAATTATTTTGAAAACTTTGGCGTGTCAGCTTAAGAATGAGTGTGCTTATGATCAAGTATATACGGTATCTGCTTATTCCAAAGAAGGGTGTCAGCGTCTCTCGTTCTTGTTTCTTTGGCTATGACTGTGCTGTTATCACCTCGCTCCCTCCCTTCACTTGCTGCCCCCTGAAGATCACAGCAGGGTCAGTGCTTGGATTTTACTGCAGCCTTCAGGTTACAGGGATGACTACTCCTGGGCTGCTCTTCCGCAGGGGGTTTTGATCAAAGTTGCTGTCTCTGCTCCAGTAAACTCCAGTTACACAGGAGCTTTGCAGCCTACCTCCTTGTGCAGTGGAACCGTGGCAGTCCCTCTGTACTTGGGGTCTTCCTGTCAGTGTTCTTTGCACTGTTATCCCCAGTGACACCCAAGATCACTGTAACTGAAAGGATGTAGAGAGTAAATGTCTACCACCATTTCTGGTTTATTTTTTCTTATAGTTTAGAGTTACCATATTTGAACTTTCAAAAAAGAGGACATTCCCGAGAAGGAGTGTATCTGTACCAGTTTCTACCAACTCACCTTGTATTAATGTGTTTTATATAAAAACTAATGTCTTATAATCTGAGTTGGTAGATACAGATACACTCCCTCTCAGGGGTGTCCTCTTTTTTGAAAGTTCAAATATGGTAACTCTATTATAGTTAGCAAGCTTTTCCTACTATTTAAACTAAATGTGCCTGGCTGCAGATGAAGGTCATTACTTCTTGCCCCACCTTCAGGGAACTTAGGATCACTCTCCTCTTTAGAACAGCCCTTCACATATCTGAAGATTGCTATCAGGCCTCTGCTCAGTCTTCTTTTCTCAAAAATGCCCAGGTTTTTTTTCTAAACCTGTTATCATTTTTGTTGCTCTTCTCTGGATGCTCTCCAATTTGTCCACCTCTCTGCTAAAGTGTGGTGCTCAGAGGACTCCAGTTGATGCCTCACCAGTGCCAAGTAGAATGGGACAATTACCTCCCATGCTTACATACACTGGCATGTGTACAGGGTGTGCCCAGGCACACCCTAATGTCTTAGGGTTGCCAGGTGTCTGGTTTTCTACCGGATAGTCCCGTTTTTTGGGCTCTGTCCGGTTAAAATAAATCCAGAAAATACCGGACATGTGCACTGTCCGGTATTTTCTGGTTTTCTGACTGGGCATCCAGAAGCCTGGCGGGGGGAGTGGCTGGGAGACCGGGTGTGATCGGTGCTGGGAGCCCTGCTTGTGTGTGAGGAGGAGGGGCAGTCCGGTCCGTGCTCCTGTGCGCTGGTCAAGTGCGTGGTGGAGCCGCAGCCAGACTGACTCGCGCTTCACCTGGACCGTGCGGGGGGGGCGGGAGCGCCCTGGGATCTGCACTGCTCGGGTCAGTCCTGCTCCCCGCTGGCTGATACGCTCCTGACCCCCGCCCCCTCCTGGCCGGCCGGTTGGTTCTCCCCCACTTCTCCCGATCTTTTCCGGCCAGCCCCACTGCACCGCCAGCAGTCCTGCTTCCGACGGCCAGTTCTCCCCTCCTCTCCCGATCTCCCCCAGCCAGCTCCGCTCCCGCTGGCCGCTCCGCCCTTCCCCCGATCTCCCCTGCCAGCCCCGCTCTGCC